ATCCCACATGTGGGCCAGTGATGCTGCGCCCTCTACAGCTAAGATGGTGAACAACAGCTCGACCTGGAGCTGGGCTGCCATGAGTCGCCGGTGACGGCCTAGGCTGCAGTGGGGCTGGCCAGCAGTGGGTGTGTGCTTTTGTGAGCTGCCGTGAGCTGCTTTGAGCTGCCGCCATGATTGGCCGTCCAACGGTTGGCAAGCGACTGCCTCACCCAGGAAGAGCGCAATGATAATACCAACATGGTCCAGTGAAGCGACGTCCTCCAAAACTAGACTGAAGAGCCAAGAACCAGCAACTTGTCTGTTCCCCTTCCCTGATTTCCAAACACTGTTCCCCTCCCCCAATTCCCCAATAAAATCTTTAATAAATAAATAATAAAAAGAAATGAGGGGCTGCTGGAGGACATGTCTATGGAGGTGACACAGGCTCGCAAGTGCCTCCTAGACTCTTCAGATGCTAGGAGTCACCCCCGATAACTTGGCATTGAAATCATATGACATAAAACCAAGATCCATCAAAAGCCACCCTCACCACAATCCAACCAGGCAGAAGGTGCTGCAGGAACAGGCCCCCGTGGCCCTGTGGACGGAAGCTGCCTCCTTCACCGAGACCCTCCTGCCTGGGCACCACCATGCTGCAGTCCCCTTCTTCACCAGACCCTGTCCCCAGACCCTGTCCCCAGCTGTCGAGGTCAGCACCGGGTCTCAACCAGCTCTGATGCCCATACACCCCTGGGGCTGAGTGGGCAGAGAGTGTAAGAATAATGGCTGGGAGAAAAAAACTGGGCCTAAGTTACAAATATAAGACAATAAAGGGCTAGGTACAGACCAGAACACAGCCAGTGTCTACCGTGCCCACAACTGGTCCCAAGAGCCAGGGGCGGGGTGCCAGTGTGGACTGGAGTCAGCAGGATATGCAGTGGGCTGGCACAAGGCCTTGGAGGATGGGTGGTACACAGACAGTCAGAGAAGTGGGCCTGTCATTCCAGGACAGCGAACTGGAGCAAGACTGTGCCTGGGTACGGGATGGTACTGACGCTGGCCTGCCTAGGGCCAGGCACGTGTTTATCAAGGTGAGCTATCTGTCCCCGAGCAGGCTGGGCTGAGCCCCTGACACCAGGCTGAGACACACTGGTTCCTCACAGTGCTGTACGTCTGGCCAGGATCCCTGGAAGCACCCCTGTCACCCAGTGCTGTCATTCCCTGACACGGTCTGTGTCCTGCCCAGGGGAAGGGGGAGACTGCTTGGCTTCCAGTTGGCTGTGTCCTCTGGCCACTTTCACACTGTAACCCCCCAGCTCTCAGGGTACGTTCACATGCTGCCAGTCTGGGAAATGTGGCATGGGAGGGCTCACTCAGTCCAGCTGATGCTGCCAGGCCGGGGTTGGACCTTGAGCACCAGGCAGTGACCTCTCGACGTTTATATTCTAGCCAGCACAAACCTGCATGGAGCATGGGGTTTGTGACAGCACCCAAAGACAGAAGAGAGAGGCTTCCTGTGTGCCTGGCAATGGCTGCAGTGTCAGGAGGCCTTGGGCCCCCGAGGAGACAACAAGGGCACATAGCTGTACTTATCTCTGGCATGGCCCTGCCCTATCAGCCGTGGACGTCAGGGGCAGCCCCTTTGACTGCCTGGATTCGGAACAGATTCAAATCCCCAGGATGACATCATACACCTACCTAGGCCACATGACGCTGCTGGGCAACCCTGCTGGGAAGTAGATTAAAGCCAGGAGACCTCACCTCCACCCCACCCTTTCCCACAGGCCTCTCGATGTCTTGGGGCTTTTCTGACAGCAGCATCGGCAGCTAGCAAGGGCCTGTGGGGAGGGCCTCCTGACATGTGAAGGCCCAGGCGAGCCCATGGGGAAGATTAGACCTTCCCAGAGACGTCCTCCCCCCATGCAGCTCAGTGGCCACAACCCGGGAACCAGACACTTCCGGCCAGTGAGTGAGGGGCGCTGCCCTGGCAAACATGGACCTCCTCAGGGAGACCTAAGGCACATGTTTCTAGCCTGCTCTCTCCAAATGAGGGCACTGCTGAGGGGCTGGCAGTCGGGAGGTGGCTGGCAGCCTGCGACGTCCAGCCAGGCTGCGGCAGTGGGAGGAGAGGGTATCCAGAGCAGAGGGGGGACTGGGAGCCCTGAGCTGCTCAGAGAGTGAGGGGCGGCCGCGACTGACCTCGTCTGTGTACTGGACGTCATCCACGGCATACTTCTCCTTGAAGTGCTCCTTGGGGTGGATCCTCAGAGAGAAACACAAGGAACATCAGGGTCAGGGTTTGGCTGCCTTCCTGCCCCCAAGCCTAGGCCACGAAGCCCCAAGCCCATTCCTGCCGCGCTGGCACCTGGCACCACATGGGTCTACCCAGCAGATTCAGGGAAAACGGGCACCGGGCCACAGAGTGACCGCTGAACCACACCTGCCCCCTTGACCTCCCCAGATGACCTCTGCTCCTCCGGGTCCATGACCCTGGCCACCCAGGGCGAGCAGCTGCAGACAGGCTTTCTCCCTCCACTGCCAATGAGAGCCCACCAGCCAGCCTGCACCCCTCACCCCTTGGGGCATGAAACAAGTTGCCTCCCAGGCCCCCACGGAGCCTCTTTAAAGGACAGTTAAAAATTTAACATTTTGAAGAATTCAATATCAGTATTACTCACTGGGATGAGAAACATTTGAGCTTACTCACCAGCCCTGAAAAAAATCAGTCAGTGAGAAAACAGAGACATAGGGCAGAGGAAGTTGGGCAGCCCTCGCCCACCTCACGAAGGAACCCTGGTCATGGCTGTGCTGAGCGGGGTTCCGGCGGGTCCAGCAAGCACCACCCCCAACCCCAGCTTCTTGATGGGGGATGAGTCAATGTCACTGCTGGTGACAAGGCTCCCACGAGGAGGAGCACTAGCCGCATGGTGGGGTGGGGTGGGTGCTGGAAGCCAAGTCCAATGACGCACACACATGACGTCCTTCGCCGTCCCACTCCTGGGCACCATGTCAGCACGGGGGCATCTACCCCGTCCTGCCAATGATCGCATGGTATTCTAGTCACCAAGTGTTAGAGCCGAAAGCAGCCTCAGGGGAACATAGCAGATGGCTTTCAGACTGTGCTTCCTGGGCTCTCAAGGGTGGGCAGATGACGGGGGTGAGGGTTCCAAGGACAGTGTACCTGGGGAGACTCAGAGGGGACATGGGAGAGAGAGGACTTGGGGACTTGGGGATGACCACCTGGAGAGGGAGCTCCACATGCCTTTGAGACACCAATGTCTTTGAGACACACTCAGACACCACTGCCCAGGAGGCAGAATCCCTCTCCCCTCTCTGAGCCCTGCACCCCTTCCCTCTCCACCCAAACAAACGTCCCAGACGGGACTGTGGCCCAGAATACAGAGCATGGACCGGGGACAGATGGGTGAGCTCACCATCACATACGGCAAGTGAGGCCGAGGAGACGATGGCCTCACTGCAGTGGGCTGCTCAGGGGCCCCCTGCTCAGGGCTCTTTGCTTTATCTCCCTTTCGGCTTCTCTGACACAGGCAACGGGTATCGAGCTCCTGCGGTTGATTAAATTTGCACCATCCAGTCGCATTCGCTTCCACGGTTGAGATAGAACTCAAAAGTTAAATGGCCAAAGTCTGGGGCCTCCATCAACATTGCCTGAAGCAGTCAGGGCAGGAATTGATGACACACACCTCACCTGGACACTAGGGGCCCCGGCTCCAGGGCTTACCACTGAGAGCTCGCTGACCCTTTGCTGCTAAGGGGTGACACTCTAGGCACCGAGTCGACCCTGCAGCCGTGCACAAAAGCACAAGCCAGAAGCGCAAGAGGCAGGGCCATCAGCAGCATCACCACATCCACTCTGCCTGTCCCCGCTCCAGGAAAACACCCCGTGTCCTTGGCAGGTTCCCAACCCATCTCTGGTCCCCAGTCACTTAATCACCTCCGGCTGTGACAGGCATCAAAGCAAACTCTGAAAAGACTCGGGAAGTGCTAAGGATCTGCTTTCAAGGCCAGCCTCAATGCTCCCTATAGATGGACGCCTTGGCCATTAGCCCGGGCACTGACCTTTTCACCTCCAGTCCCAATGGGGACCCTAACTCTCTCAGCTCACCATGGCCACCCTGCCAAGGGATGCCTCGGGAAACATGTTCCTGCCACTCTGCCTGGGAGTCTGGGTGGTCAGGCCTCAGCAGAGACCTCAGGAGACCTGAGACCTGGGAACATCTCTGTATGCTCAACCTGAGGTCACGGTCATAAGAATGTGGAACCAGAGGAGGTGGGGGGAGGAAGGGGCAAAGAAAGGGAAGGCGAGCACAAGGCAGTTCTGATCTGTAGGTGGCCCCAGGGCTGTGCGCTCTACTGTCCACCTTTTAACTATCAGCCACAAGGCATTCCACTTGCCATGGGCGCCAAGGAGCGCCAAGAGCCAGCCAGCCCACAGGAGAGCCTGCTGCTTCCGTCCTGATGTCCAGGAGGAAGCGAGTGCAGGTGTCACCCCACCAAATGTCCTTTGTCCTCCTCAATGAGCTCGGATGACACACTGGGTGCAGACTGGGTCTCAAGGGCCAAAACTGCCCAACTAGCTACAGGCCTTCTTCTCAACAGGAATATTCATTTGACAAACACACCCTGAAACGCTGTGAGCATCTTCTCAGGCACATTGCGTGTCATTCTTTTCTAAAGGGCAGAGATAATTAAGTTTGACTAGTACTTATTTTTTATGTTTTAGAGCTAATTATAGTAAAAATCATTTAAATGTCACCCTAAAGGATAATGCCATGTCAAGCCAGCCGCCGGAGGCTTAGCAGCCATGATGTTGTTAAGAGCTGATGGGAGAAGGTGTGGCACATCCACACAAGCCCTGCAGAGCTGGCCAGAGAGGTCGCAGGGCCAGGCTGGTGGTGGCCACGTAGAGGGTCTGCACCCTGCCCCGTCTGGAGTTTACGGTCCAGCAGGGCAGCTCACGCCAGATCCTATCTTATGGGAGATCTGAATAGAAGCAACTGGACCGAACGGCTCAGCAGGGAAGCCAGCCGCACCCCAGAAACTCTCCCTTCAAGTGGAAGGGCGAGCATTAGCAGGAGAGAGGAAGAAGTGCCCCACTCGAAGGGGCCCATGTCCTCCAGATAGAGCCAGTGTCCACGGACCCAGCCCGCGCAGGCCGTCTCCACCAGCAGCTGGGCTGGGCATGAGTTAGAGGATGCCTTTCCCAGAACTCAGGGTCAGGGCTGAGGCAGCCAGTGCCAGCACGTGGGCAGGGCCTCCAGCAGGAAGGAGACATTACATTAATGCCCATGGTGCAGACATGATGGAGCCCTCTAGAAAATGAAATTTCCAAGCGCAGGTTCTGCTGGCTAGCTGACCACCTGCGTGGGGTTAATGAATAAGTAACAGCGAAATTACAGCAGTCATCATCAATTTTCAGCGGCCAGAGCCTGCCATCAGCTACAAACGATATGGTTGCCTTTCATTCTGTTCACCGCACATCGCTGGGCACTTGCTCCAGAATGGTAGTCAGCGACCTTTTCAAGATGCTATAAACTTGTCAGAAGAAAGCAGATCTTTCCAAAGCCATGCAGGTGCCAGCTCCTGGGGACTACTCCCATGAGCAGATGGCACGGTAGCACTTCTCAGGGAGGCCAGGCAGTGGGACAGCCTGCGACTCCAGAAGGAGAGCTGATCAAAAGGAGGCCTGTCTGTGGTCAGCAGGGCCCCAGGAGAGGTTCCCAACTGAGGATCCTGGCCGATGGCTGGCCAGGCCTTGGGCTGCCTGGGACCAGGCTCCCACCAAACCACCTGGGTTAAGAGCCAAAGGAATTCCTTCAGCCTCCTCATGAAAACCTGCGTCCTCATCAGCGCCCCGTGTGCCCTCCCTGAAGACAGAGGGAGCCGTGGCGAGGCCACCAGACAGGCTGAGGCAGCTTTGGTTCCAGTGACCCAGGTATATATACAGGGTGGGGGTGAAAAACCACACACGACATGCACCACCCCTGTGCACATACACCATACACACACACACACACACACACACACACACACACCAGTTTCCATATCAAAAAAACGCAGTGCTCAGGGCCTCAGGTGAAAATCCCTCACACCACTCCTGGGCAGTACCCTCAGTGGAGTAGCACTCGCCTCCCTACAAACCTCAAGCCAGGCTCACTGTCTCAAGTTCCAGGCCTGAGGCCTCGGGGACAGGAACAGAATGCAGCCAAGATGCAAAGGCTTTGGGAGGGTTCCCCCAGTGTGGCCCAAAGTCACTCACCCTCTATGGGCGCAGAAACTGCGCAGTGTGTTTCTCCTTCCTGCTCAGAGAATCTGACATCCCAGCAGTCAAAGCTGCCATCATCTAAGCCTGCTTCTGATGAAAATGTTGGGAAAAAGTTTCACATCGGAAAGGTACCAGACTTTTGTAAGCAAAGACTCTCCAAATAAAAACAAACTTGAAGCTACTACATTCCTGTTCCCCAAAAAAAAGGCCTGGGGTGAGGCACAGGCGGGGGAACAGGCTGCCCACAGATCCCTCAGTGTCTGGGCCAGCGTGACAACAGGACAGGCAGTTTACACAGGATGTGGCAGGTCTGCAGATGGGGGCGTTGTTTCCCTGGGCAATTTTATCGGCCAGATGGATTTTCAAAAGTCATCAGATAGAGACTCAAAAGGAAGCTGAGGAGCTGAAGGTCAAATGTTCCGTCTGGCGGGTTTTGATTGCAAAGGCCAGGTAATCCCATCGGCCTTGCTCCTCCCGAGCTCTATTGATTATGAGAATGTCTAGAAACAGTCACAATCAGATGGGCCACTCCCCAACTCCAGCCCCAAACAACCAGGCCCTTAGCCAACTGCCCTGTTCCCATCATGCCCTCTCTCCCCAGGGCTCATGAGGACTAGGAGACAGTCGCACCAGAGCAGAGAAAGGGAGCGGACGCAGTGGGGAGCCAGGCTTGCAGGAGACCACGGTGGATCCTTCTGCGGTGGGTCTCTCTGCTACGCCACCACCCTGAGCCCATTTCCTCTTCAAAACACAGAACAGTCATAAGGATTCAGCCAGGGACAGAATAAAAGTTGATGCTAAAGGTCACAGCAGGATGGGGCGGCCAGAGCCACCTTCACAGGCACAACCCGGTCTCCTGGCCTGGATCTGCTGACCTAGACGGAGGAGGGGCGCCACGTGAATGGGTTGAGGGGAGCCTGCCCCAGGCCAAACCTGAGGCCAACTTCTCTGCAGGCATAAGATGCAGTCTGGTAAAGTGGGCAGTCCACCTCAGAGGCGTCCTCCAAGGCCCCCTCCACATCCCACCCAGGCTTGGGGCAGTGTGGAGTCTCTGGCGGCTCTCAGCCATGCCCAATGCCCTGCCCCTCCCTCTGGGAAGAAGGCAGCAGACCTTCCAGTGCCCACCCTAATGCAAGCAAGAAGGCCAGTGGGAACCTGCTCATTACGCAGCAGGGAAACATTCACGCCACCTGCCCCAGGGGCCTCTGAGAGGCCAACACCTAGGTGGCCACTGAGATATCTACCCCAAAGGCCAGCTAGATGGGCATGTCCGCTCCCCAGGACCAAGCCAGGTGAGCACACTGCCAGGAAAAGCCCGCCTGCTTCTCTTGTGCTGCCAATTCTGCTTAAAGCCAAGTCTTTACAACAAAGCTAAAGACCAGGGCCAGGGCCAGGGATCCTGCCAAGAGGGCTCAGAGCACAGCTGTGAGGCCGAACCCCTCCTCCCAGGATGGCAGAAGAGGTACATGGCAGGCTGACAAGAGGCTATGGGGTTGGCACTGAAGGGCTAGTGGGGAGGGCGGCACATGAAACAGAGGACGATCAGGGGGCCTGCCTGGCCCTCTGTGCAGAGCAAGGCCCAGGAGCAGCCTGGTACCTTGTCATTCAAATCAGCCACAGACCAGCCAGCCCACCTGGTAACGAGCATTCAGGGACACTAAGCAGGGAGGGCTGAAATTTATATATTAGCCCAGAATAATCACTCTCCAGGCAGAAATGACACGCTGGAAGGTGGTAAGCATTTAGTGGGACCCTCTGATCACCTCAAGCATCCCCAGTTAGGTACAGTTTCTGCTTCGGCCCCTCTGAACAGGCAGGGACGGCTCCTGGGACATGTGGACACAGTGAAGGGCCCTGGAGCTGGCAGGTGCCACAGGTGATGGGGGAGGGGCACCTCAGAAGAGCCCAGGCCTCTGGTCCCACACTTCTCACACAGCGCTACCCCATCTCCCAGGTGAGCCCACTAAGGCAGAACCTACATCTGTAGCCCTGTAAAGCTTACCGCGGAGGCAGGCACCCAGCAGGCACCCAGTGAAGCCCTGTGGTTAATGATGGCATTCAGAGAAGGGCCTTAGGTTGCCCTCCCTGGTGAGAGCCAGAACCTTCCACTCCCAACCCATGGGTGCCATGCAGGAGCGCTGGTCCACTGGGACCAAGGCCTCAGGCATTCTAACAAAGCTGGGAATCCAGGCTTTCAAGACTAATAAATGGTAACTACCTCCAAACAAACATGACCGCAGTGTACGGCTCTGGCTCTGACACCCCTTCCCAACCAAGGGTACAGGGCTCGGGCCCAGGGCAGGCCGTCAATGGTCCTGACCACTGACCCTCCCCATTGCTACTTCTCCCCTCCTTGCCACCCACAGGCCAGGCCCTGTGTCCCCAACCCCAGCCCCACCCCACCCCGGCCAGCCAGCAGTCAGCAGGCAAAGTCACATGGCCTGGACGGCTCCTTACTTTCCCATCCAGGTGGCATGGCTGTCAGGAAGCCTGGGCACAAACAGGGTCGACTTTCCGGTGTCGATGTCAATCACGCCGTAGCAATCTGGCTCGGTGACTCCGAATGACCAGTGAAAGAAGGACTCCTGTGGCGGGAACAAGAACCCCACAATTACCCAGTCAGCAGGACAGAAACAGGAGGTGCAAGGAGTTGAGGTGGGGCGGCTGACCAAACACCTGCCTTCATGCACCCCAGAGAGTCCGCTCAGGCTCACCGTCCTCAGACACTGACCCCCAGCCTCACACAGCCCTCCACCTCAGCACTCTGCCCCCCACTCCAGGCTGCCTGTCTCCTCCGTCCAGGGCTTGGCAGGGGGCAGCCTGGCCGGTGCCTCTGACGCTGCTTTGAGCCTTCTCTGATAATGTGGGTTTCATGCACGTGCCCCAGCACCACCTCACAGACCACACCCCTTAGGCCCTTCAGAGGGCACGTAGGACATGGGTGCCATGAGCACCACTGGTCTGGCTCAGCCCTGCCCGTGCCTCTCTGCCACCGGCATCGCTCTGCGGTTCCTACTACTGCCTGCAGGCAGGCAAGGTGCCACCTTGAATTAGACACCCAGGCTGGACACCTGCACGGAAACGGATTCCTCCACTTGGGACGTCTTCCTTCCCCTCCCAGCCCCGGGGCAGCTGATGACTTCAGTGTTTAGCAATAAACAGTGAGCTAAAATAACCTTATAAAGGTACCAAGAGGAGGCGGATCGCTTCCAAAATTAACCCTGCAGAACATCAGTAAGGGAGCCAACAGCTGAATTTAGGAGATCGGTTTTTAAACCACAGAATATGTAAGCCTCAAGAAACATCAAGGCTCGTCAGAAAAAGCTCATTTAGACCTCCATGTCTCTAGAACTAGAGGACTGCAGGCTTGAGGCTGCAGGAACAAAGAAGCAGAGGGGAAACTTCCAGCAGGAGGCGCTCTCAGTAAAAAACACTGTGCAATGGCTCTCGGCAGAGGATCTCAGCCAGCCTGTGCCCTGCGGGGTGGACTGCCCAGCTGGGGAGGCCACGCCTCGCCACCTCCTCTCCACACTCAGCTCCCTGAGCTGGATGCTGGACAGCTGTGTCCCCTAGGCGCTTCCTGTCCCCAGGGAGGCTCTGGAGTCCCCAGTGTGTTAGGCCCAGCTCTGGGCATGGCCGGAAGGAGAAGAAAACACCAGACTTGGTGTCAGGAGGTGGGGTTCTAACTAATCCCAGCTCCACCCTCGGAGCTTGTTTCCTCATCTATAAAGTGGGTGCAATGCTAGGATCAACAAGAACGGGGCCAGCTCAGGGCCTCCCTGACTTTCTCAGTGCACCCCTCTGTCCAGTGTCCTTGTTCTTACTCTTGGGAACCGAGTGATGCCAGCGATTCTCAGTCATGGCCACCACATCCAAGCCGGCTTCCTGCCGCTGGGCCACCTGCCACCCCGCAGGGTTCCAGAGCCTCAAGGAGCCCCTGGACCACTTCCCAGGTGAGGAAACCAAAGCACAGTGAGGCTCACAGAGTCAGCACTGGTCAAGCCAGGACGAATGCCTGGGCCTCCGACCCCTGCTCAGCATCCTGCTTAGACATCTCCTTCCGAACTGCTGCAGTCTCCGTCTGCCTTGCTGCAGAGCCCTCCCCATCAGCACCTCTCTCTGGCCATGGAGCTGTCCGGCCCAGCTACTCCTATGGACGCCAGCCCCCTACCTGTAACACCTGCCCCAACTCTACCTGTCAGAATTCACCGGCCTTCAGGGACCACACCTGATGCTGCCTCCTCTAGGAAGCTTCGTCTGCTTGCTCCCCAAGGAATATCATCCTGCTGTACTTGGACCTGAGAGAGCGGAGACCGGCTGGTGCCAGCTCTGCCCCCAGCAAGTGTGGGCTCCCTGGGCCCCAGGCCCTGGCCTGCCTTCAGAGAGCCTCTTCAGGGACCCCAGGGAACAAAGCTGCCCAAGGCCCATCAGGCCGGATCCTAGCAGAGGGCAGACAGCCCACAGGAGGCCCCGTGCACGCTTGGAGGTTTCGGATGCTGCTGGGGTGGGCTCACCTGGCGGAACACGACCCCCGTGTCAGTGCAGTAGCGCTGTGTCTCCTCCCCGCCCTGCAGCAGCACGACAGAGGCGGCCTCCACGGCCGGGTTCTTTCGCAGCCGCTCACACAGGCGCCGCCTGTTCAGGGCGAAGAGCTCCATGGACACCTTCAGGGTTTCGTTCCCCAGCCAAAACGAAGGTCTGCAAAGACATGAGCACACACCGCCACACAGGCCTCTGTGAGCACCACCGAGTACATCCGCCACCCTTGGTCTGACACGACCGGAGGGCCGAGCCTGCCATGAGACCCCCATTAGCACATAACAAGTTGATCCAAGCTGGACTTGCTTGTGAACCTCATCAGGACACCCTGGGACCACAGGGGCTCGTCGACCACAGCCTCCCCTGCTATCCCTGAGCACTGGGCCACAAGGGAGTCTAAGGGACAGTTTGGGTCTGTTTCATCAGTGGGCAGGTGAAGCCCATGGAGGGAAAGCCTGTGATGGTTTGGAGATGTATCCTCTCAACTCCTGCCTTCAAGGAGCTTAATATCCTTGCGAAAAATGCATGATCTGGCCCAGACAACACTGGTTCCCTGCCCAGGCGCCTGCATGCTCCCATCTTCTCTGCAAGTCACAGATCCGGCAGGCAGGGCTGGCTGTTCCTCACCTGGCTGGGATGCCCACCTGTCCTCAACACACACACACACATCCAGGGTACCCAGAGCCAGCCCAGCGCAAAGCCTGGAGAGTACCGTGTTTCCCCGAAAATAAGACCGGGTCTCATATTAATTTTTGCTCAATGTACATTTATTCATTTATTCATGTACAAAAATCTACATTTAGTCAAACAGTCATGTCTGGGTGACAATCTTAACTGGGGCTTATGTTTGGGGTAGAGTCGTGTCCCGCGCGGCAAGGGCGGTGGCCTGCGAGAGGGGCGGCAAAGGGTTAAGAAAGACAAGAGCCAAGTATTTGGTGTAAGCGGACCAGGGGAGACGCCAGTCTCTTGGACTGAGCTCCGAACGAACCTGGCGTTCCCATACCTTTTATTTATTTATTTTATTTTTTTAAATATATTTTTATTGGGGAATTGGGGGGATGGGAACAGTGCTGGGGAATTGGGGGAAGGGGAACAGACAAGTTGCTGTCATTTTTTGTTCTTCAATCTAGTTGTGGAGGACATTGCTTCACTGGCCCAAGTTGGCACCATCATTGCGCTCTTCCCGGGTGAGGCAGATCAGTCGCCGGCTTCTGAACGGCCACTCACTGCGGCTGCTGGCCACTCACGCTGGCTGCTGGCTACACACGGTAGCCCATGGCAACCCACTGCCACAGGGGCTGCAGCCTATGCCGTTGCCGGCGACTCATGGCATCCCAGCTCCAGGTTGAGCTGTTGTTCAGCATCTTAGCTGTGGAGGGCAGTGTCACTGGCCCTCACATGTGGGATCCGAACCGGGGCCCTCTGGCATCCCAAGCCAGTTCTTAACCAACGCGCCACTCGGCCGGCCCCCCCATAGCTTTTATTATCCACTATCAGGAAGTGAATTTGCTTATCGCATTCCAGTCTGCTGAGCTTATTGTGCCTAGTAACTGTTTTCCCCGTACTGTGCCTTCACACACACACACACACACACACACACACACACACACACACACACATGACCCCAGGGATGGTCTCAGCATTCTGAGACCATCAGATAAGGAAGCTTTACCGAGATCACTCCCTCGGGTCTCAGCATTCCGAGACACTTCCCTATACCTTCATGGGATCAGCACACGGGAACAGTTCGGCAGCTATGAGGCTATAGGGTAGGACTTATATTACGAGCATCCTGAAAAAATCGTGCTAGGGCTTATTTTCCAGTTAGGCCTTATTTTCGGGGAAACACGGTATGTGCCAAGTGACCAAGGGGGGGCCATGGCAAGATGAGCCTGGTAGCGGCAGCCCTAGGGGTGCTGACCTTGAGGAGAGCAGCCAGCCAGGGGTGAGCTGCCGAGACCTTACGAGAGGCTGGGCAGAACCAGGCCTGGCAGAGCAGGTGGGTGTCTCCCTCCATCCCCACCCTCACCTGATGGCTCCCTTTCCACTGAGAAAACACAGCTTATCCTCTCAGCACCCAACTACCTAAACCCCACCTGCCCCCACCTGAGGCTTCTCCTCCACCTGGGTGTGGCCTGCCCACCCCCACGCCTATTCCCTGCGTGGTTCCAGCCTCAATTTTCCCCTCTCAGGATCATTCTCAGCATCTAGACATACAAGAAAGAACCTCACTTACGGCTTTAAAAAATTAATCAAAACCCTTCCCTTAATGCTCAGGTCCCTGCAGCCATCTAGTTCTCTCTCCCTTTTGTAGGAAATATCCTCTGAAGAGTCACCCAAGCCCACCGGCCCCACGTCCTAGCCACCCACGCTCTCTTCAATCCACCCCATCAGGCCTTGGCCCACCCCCTCTCCACTCTGCAGCCCCTACCAGGCCTCTCTGGGTGCCCAGGGCACTGGGAGCCACTCTCTCTGCCAAAGCCCCGCCCGGCACCAGCCCTCCAGGCGCCCTCCATCCCTCAGTTCGCCCTCCATAGTGCAGCCCCACAGCTGTGGTGTATCTCCGTCCCCCACCTGCACAATTGCAGGGAACTCAAATGCTCGCTCAGTCCCAGCGTCCCCCAGAGCCTGGCCTGCACCCACCCAGAGGGGCCCTTCAAAATTGCAAATCCGAGCAGGCTCTCCCCCGTTCAAGCCCTCCTCTGGCTTTCTAGTGCACTCAGAACACAGCGCAGGCTTCCTCCGCAGCTGCGAGGAGCTGAGAGACACCCCCACGCAGCTCCACCGTGCCTGCACAGGCACCGCACAGGCATTGATCTCTCCTGAACACCAGCACAGTCCCCCCAGGGGGCCTTCACTGCTGCTGTTCTCCCAGTGCTCCCGTTCTGGCTTCTTCCAGGCCTCTGTGGAGATGTTCCTCTTCCCAGAAGCTTTTCCAATGACCCACTGAAACCCTCTCCCGACTCTGCATTCCTCTTTAGAGCACGCGCCATTGCCTAACAGCACGTGTCTACTTGATCTTTGTCTCCCCAGGTTAAAGGTAAGCTCCAGGAGGGCGGGCACCTTGCCTCCTTCCCAGCACCTAAAGGTGCTGAATGACCACGTGCAGGAAGGAAGGGCAGCCCCAGCAGGTGGGGTGGGCCCCGGGGGCGGAGGAGGAGTGGAGTTAGGCGGGTGCTCTCAGGCCAGGACGGAGGGTGGGCACGGAGGTTGAGTAAGCTGGAACAGCCCAGCGCTGGTGTGAGAGAGACGGCTCTGCCTGGGGCTGCAGTGAAAGCCAAGCACCGTGGCCTCAGGAAGGCCTGGGGCACCTCCTGCACTCACCTGGCCATGGGACCCTCAGAGCCAGGGTCACTCCTACGCGTCTTGGTTCCAGTGTCACCTTCTGAGGATGCTCGTCCCTGGCTTCCTTCTTTAAACTTGCAGCTTTCTCCCCTGCCCATTCTCCCACTTAGCTGGGTTTCCTCTACTCTCCCCTGCTCCATGCCCAGGGCCTGCGGACTTCATCAGTATGCTCCCTGCCTCTGGCATCCAGGTGGGTTTAACCAGGGGGAGGCATGGCAGAAGACAGGAGGGGGAAGACTGGAGGAGGTGGGGAGGCAGGGAGGACATCTTCAGTCACCTCTCTCCATGAGGCTCGGCCAGGTCCCTGGCTGCAAGGACACATCCCCCCGCTAACACACATGCAGCCTGTGAGGACCGGGGCTCGTGATGCAGTCTACTTCTGCCCACTAGAAGGTAAACCCTGTGAAGACAGACATCTGGGTCTACTCTGCTCACTGCTGGGCCCAGTGCCTGGCACCCTGCTCGGCACACAGCAAGTGCTCAATAAATATATGCTGGGGTGGCCGGTTGGCTTAGGTGGTTAGAGTGCGGGCTCATAACACCGGAGTTGCTGGTTTAATTCCCACACGGGCCAGTGAGCTGCGCCCTCCACAACTAGATTGAAGACAACTACTTGCCTTGGAGCTAATGGGTCCTGGAAAAACACACTGTACCTCAATAAAATTTAATAAATAAATAAATAAGTGCTAAATGAACAACTGTGACAACGTAGGGCCACACACACAGCTGCCACCATCAGCCCCAGTGGGGCAGGAAGCAGAAACCTCAAGCCAGCCTGGCCAGGAAGGATGGAGGGGTCGTGCACAGCCTACACATGCTGACAGGACTAGAGCCTCCCTCCCTTCCACTCCCCTCCCAAGCATGGGCCCTCACTCACCCTCCCAGAAGGGTGGACACAGGGGCCAGAGCTTCCTCTAAGTTGAGCCACTTTCCTGCCAAGTTCAGCCACAAGGATGGAAGGACAGAGGTGACAGCTCGTAAACATGCCTGCATCCCAGCTGGCCACGCTGCCAGGAACTGAAAGTGCAGCCGCCAGCACCCCTGCATTTCTCACATCCCCTCACACTCTTTCCCCTCACTCAGCAAAGCCCATGACGTGGGGTGGGTACAGGGAAGAACCTCATGTCTACAGGCTCCCCAATGGCACAGAGGTAACGACACCGAGACACTGCTGCAGAGGTGCGCTGGCCATAGGTGCCCAGATCGGAGAGGCCTCCACAGCACAATGGGCTGGAAATGCCTAACCTCGGCCAGCAGAGCCCAGCCCTGGACACCTCATCCCCCACCACTCCTGGCCCCTCTGCCCCAGCCTCCCTCCTCGAACACACCAGGTGCCAGCTCCACTGGGCCTGCCACCATGCCCCCACCTGGAAGGTTGTCAGAAGGGTTGGGCTTCCTCTTGTCTAGAACCTTCTGAGAGGCCTAAATCCCTCAGGGCACCCAGATTGGTGCCTTCTGGCCCAAGGACCTGTGGTTCAGGAGGGCCAAGCTGGGCAGACAGTGGGGGCCTCTGTGCAGGGTCCTGCTTCAGGTCCCCGCCATGCTCAGAAGGGTGACAGGGCCTGGCACAAGAGCTGGGGCTTGAAGGGGAGCCCTGTGAGGTGTGGGAGCCAGCGGAGTGGGCAGAGAGCACTTGGCCTTGGGTCTCGGAGGCCATGAATGAAGTGGGGAGCCCTGGAGGAACAGGAACCCCAACCTGCATCTCTCAGGACGGCACCAAGCATAGATCCAAAGTAAGAGGGTGAGGACGTGGGGCCACCAGTGTCAGGCCCCCTCTAACCTTCCTGACATCCCCAGGAGGGAAAACTCCGGCT